TTATAGACTATCTCATTTTGATGTAACAACGTCCGACTCCGGGCTATTGTATCAGGTCTGTTCCTCAACTTCAAAATGCGTTTACCATGGTCTCAAACTAAAATCTTCTCAAGTTGAAGTTATTCGGAATCATCATTACTTTGCATTCATGATTTGCTTCCTTCCTAAGATGATATAAGAGATGGTAAGGTACATCTTTGTCTCATCACCGTGATCAATGGCTAATGGAATTGTTGAGAGAAGTGCAATGTGTCCACCATCTTTTTCATGTATATAAAAGGTATATGTAAAACTGTGAAGTTTGTGCTGATGATGTCGTTCAGAAGGACGATGAAACCTCCACGACCAAACCATCCAGCTCAGAGAACAAAACTCCACCAAAAACTGTGAAATTGGGGAAATTATACCTTTAAGGCGATGGTTGGTGGTAGTCGACAAAAAACCTTAGGCCTGGGTTTCGTGCTATCAGACACTCGTCATTAAGGTGTACTAGTAGTAGTAAGGGAACTGATGCTCTATTCCAATGTCACTCGGCTTCACACTCCGAGAAGTCACAACTGAGCTATCTGTGTCGCGAGTGACCTCCGATGGGAATGGGGTACATTTACAAATGATTGGTCACTGGGTATTGGTAGATGTCATGTGGTTCATGTCTTTCTTGGTCCAGAATCTTAATAGATAGAATTAAATGGTTCTACAAACATCCACTACGCTTCAGTATAGTGCACAAGATATCGAGTCATCTTAACTGGTTGTCACACTGCAACTTGATCAGCAAAGTTCAGTGTGCACCAAAAAAGATATGACAGTGATCACCATATAGTGACCAGTCATTTGTAAAAGATCATACATGTATGACGATAAACTCATCATAGTACATAGCCTAGGTTCGGAGCTGTAAGTTAAGGATTTCTCAGTTTCAGCGCGACAACCTGTCTGTCTGCAGTAAAAATCGTCAGCTACCACGTAATCATAACGAATATGAGACCATGCATTTTAGAAAGTGTCTCTATAATAATCACGGTGCTTAAATTAGTGTGGAGATCAGATATTTAACTTGACATTCGGTCTAGTGGTTCATTGTACGAAAAGTGTACAAGAACATACTTCACGTATCATTTTTACATCAAGAATGCTGACGGGTTTCATAGTTAAATGTTCTTGATCAAAGAGACTAAGCTTACACTTTTTAAATATGTACATTACCCTACCTTGAACATCGTTAATGCATTTCCTCAAGTATGAATACCACAGATGAGATATCAGTGAGGAATATCAAGAAAAGCTTCACACATCGTTCATTGGGATAAGATTCTATCCTTGACTAAATAGGTTGATGTGGACATATTGCCTTAGAAAGTTTATGAAGTCGTTGACAAATGAAGGACCTATTTTTTCGCAAAATAGTGAGTTGAATTTCATTTTCAAGTCGTAATCAACCACTATGCCCATAGAATAACAAACAACACATCTAAACTACCAACCATAAGCAGCCAAAACCAATATGTCGTCAATCTTTTACTACATAGTACAGTTTACTTTGAGACAGACTGAAAAACTCCTCAGTGACGATGATACCACACCAGGTCTGAACGATCAACAACCGTTTTCTGAGACCTTGAAGGGATTTGTCAAGTATTCCCAGAACATTTAACGAGCCTTGGTGGACTTTGTTACGGACGACCTAAAATCTATATATGTGTGTAAAAAGCTATTAATCGCCCAAAAATATATTTCACCTCCACTGTCTTGCATAAAAACACCTAATTAATTGACCGTATGCTGAAAACGGATACATCCAACTCTGTTTACAGATTTCGGCTCTGTGCAGCCATCTGGCTCTAAAGTTTCCCTAGATCCAACTTTAATCAGGAGAGAAAACAAAATCACTACTTCGGAAAGGAGAAAACTAGGAGTAAAAACGACGCAACAAGCGTCTCATGATTTAACAGCGTTCCCAGTGATATTATTATAAAATTGATGAAACTAGACTATCTAATTTTGTATAACATCTACAACAGAATATTTTGAATTGGCACTGCAGTTTTATCGTAAAATGCTTCCATCGTGCCAATGGTGGTCTAACACTGTTCAGGCAATAAGTTCACTGGAAATCGACAGCTTATTGGTTTCCTAATGTGCTCATACTCTGAGTATGTTACGATAATCCATAATTCATAATTATTTAACAAATAACAGAATATTGAGAAAAAGAATCCTCAGCAACAGAAGATGAACACGTGATACGGTTAGAAACTGTATCTTTTACTCAGAAATTAAACCTCCGTTCGAATAAATCACATAAAGAAGCTAACAAATGAATGAAACAGGATATTATCAATTGTTCACCATGCATACCAACAATAAAAGTGAAAATGTCGATTATGAGCTTGAATATACACAAACACAAGTCGATTTGCAAATTAAATTCGCAACAACCAGAAAATATCAGGTTTTATAGCAAAAACTGTTGTTGAGACGCTTGAAATTGCCATTTGATGACCTTCACGACGAGGTCACTCACCATTGTGCGCTAACAGTCATCGGCATGGGCGTAACTGTTGAAACCTACAAGCCAGGTAATGGGAAACGAATTCCGAAGAAAGGTGAAAGAGTCGTTGTTCACTACACCGGTACCCTCATGGATGGAAAAAAGTTTGACAGCTCTCGTGATAGAAATAAACCATTCGAATTTGTAATTGGGACGGGGAAAGTAAATACAATTGCTGTTTTTGAATCCCATCCTTCTAGGTAATTCGAGGTTGGGATGAAGGTATTATGCAAATGAGTGTAGGGGAGCGTGCCTACCTAACTTGTACCCCAGATTACGCATATGGTTCCAAGGGTGTCGACAAAGTTATCCCTCCAAATGCTACACTTAAATTTGATGTGGAATTAATCGATATTTTATAACTCAATCCTGTTTTTTCGCTACTCATTGCAACCACTCAATAAATTTTGTTTACTAGCAAAAGTCCTGAATCTACTTCATAATTAGTGGGATAACTATACTTAGTGCCCAAAGTTAAATGATACTGCACTGTGAGACCAGCGTTACAGTAGTGGGTTATTGTTAATAATACATCCGACTGAAAAGCGAGGGGGAACGGTCGGAGGTCATTCCAATCCATGAGTCGGAAATCCACTATACAGCAATTGTGACAAGTTTACTTTCTGTCTAATACAGGCAACATCCTTCGTCCTGTCAAGTTCCGTCATTGTCTTCAAACCCATCTTGCGTCTCGTTCGAATGCTTCAGAATGTCAAACTCAGTTCACATGTTGAAATGTGACGTAAAGATATCTAAACCATACAATCGGGCACATCCTCAACCTAATGTGAAGAAATGCACATCAGTAGAAAGGTTGAACAGTCGTAACCAAGTGTAGGTACCTTACTAGGTTTATGTTCACTTATTCTATCTTGTCCTAGGAGTAGTGGTACCATCCACGGGCAAATCAAATAAGCTTGCAGCAAATAACTTACCACCCTAATCACATGATAGACGTACCCCCCCGCATAGTTGCTGTTGTGGACACAATGTTTAGTAGTCACGGGCAGTTGCGCGTAAGGGATGGTCGACCCATGTTTGTCTGGTGTTCCCATTTGTATGATCGCCGTTTGCTGTGGTGTAGTTCCATTGCTGAGCCGACATGGTAACACAGGGTCTCTCGTTTGAGTACCTGACTAAAGAGCTCACTCCATTATTTCCAACTTCGCTGTTTCTCAGCAGCTGGAAATCTAGATTCATCGACGATACACCACGCCCTCCAATCGTGAACACATGCATAAATGCGAATGGGATTTCTATTACCACGGTAAATAGATAACAGGAGTTGACATGCAGTGAACTCACGCCAAATAATTGTCGCAACTGTTAAGGTTGGTTATGATACGACCACGTAACTACAGCAACAACTACGGAGTACACTTCGCAGCCCAATCTGCTTAGCTGATAACTTTATTTTAGAGCGCGTTAAGCTGTGGAACGCAAATAACATGCTTGGTATTAGTTGGACTGAGATGGCCACGTTAGGATCTATAAACTCCTTTGTTAGGAGGTTTCTGATAACGGTAATGGGGCGTGCATTGGTACAGTATGTATCCAAACCCATACGTTTTTGTGCAAACCAAGGTTTTTCTTTGTTGGCCTTAGTAATCGCTCATGCGACTGAGGATATTGCCAGCCTAAACTTCCTTCCACCGTTAACGAGTAGCTAACACGCTGTCTTGTCATTAACGTTTACAGCTAGTGATATGACATACGGTCAGTTTGAGCATCGCCCGAATGTATGGAGAGCTAACATGTCAGTCATTCAGGAGTGCGCTGCTGCTAAGACAGATTGGTCAGTAGATACCAGCTCATCAGTTGAAGCATGGTCTATATTTAAAGTCAAGTTTAGTTCAGTTACGTCCCCGTTTATACTACGCAGACCGAATAACTGCCCACCATGGATAACTTAATAAGTAAAGAAACTTCTTAGACGTAGGAAAAAGTATTAGAATATGTTCATCTCTACTGGCTTAGAACAGTACAGTTCCAGTTATTGTAAGACTAGGAATGCTTGTAAAGCGTTAATAAGAGTAGACAGTCGTATGAAAAACAATTGATCCGTTGATACTGGCAAGAAATAATACCAAAAAAACTGAAGACTTATCAGAATATTTCAGTAAAGTGTTTTCTATCAGCAATGAGGAACGACCGATGATTAATTGTGATTATGGCGACTTGGTGATAGACCCTGTAGTTATTGAGAAAGATATCGTCTTAAAAATACTTCAGCATCTGAAACCTGATAAATTCAGAAAACTCTACTAAAACCATGAGAGTTTATACAATACTCAAATGCATGAATTTAGTTTTTCATGACTAAATGAGGTTGTAATTAACTATTTCAGGTCTAAGTGATTGTTCATGCGATGGGAAATTGACTTTCAACACGTGGCACTCTAAACAGATCAACATTATTTCGTAATTGTTTTTTCCACTGCACAGAATTAACAAAGATGCTTTGTCAACAATTCTTATGGATTATTCGGAGTGATTCACGTACTTAAGTTATGTTAAAAGGATCTCAAATCCAAACCAATGCTATCAATAGAATGGATTCGTATGCTCGTCACTCAGGTTCATAACTAATTAAAAAATGGAGTTAACATTTTTCCAACTTGCCACTACGCCTCATGATTATTACGTGCTACAAGATCGTCTTTAATAATTCGGAAGAGAAACGTGTGTACAAAACTCAAGTATCAACAAACAATCAATCAAAAATTGATCAGTATCATTTCTTAAACCTAAATGAGAGAAGTATGTACTTTTGCAAACATAGGCGGGACGACCAGTTCACGTTTAAAGAGTAACAAAAGTCGCCAACTCAACTCAATATTGGATAGTCTGTTAATTTTTTAAAAAGTTATTTGCAGGCATAAAAAATAGGTTATATTTCTTATATATTTATTGTAAAAAATATTTTGATTCTGATAAAATTATTAGGCTCTACACTCCTGTTGAGCCATAACCATTTGAACCACGATCTGTTTCCGCCAACGATTCACATTCCATTAATTCAGGACAGAAAATACGTTCACAAATCAGTTGTGCTACACGGTCACCTTTTTTTATCTGAAATGAATACAGTAAAATTATTTAGTAAGCCTGTGAATACCAGGCACGATCGTTCTGAATCTGAGTATAAAGAAACACTCATAAATTAAAATGACGTGTTTTTCGTCGAATAACATTACGAAGGAACAAAATATTGAATTTTAAACTGATAAAGTTAACCAGCAGTAACGAAAGTAGTTACGTATGATGCTGAAATTACAGCTCATACCAATACCCAATAATTTAGTGTAAGGCTAGCCTAATTGCCACAGAGTACTTTTATACAGTACGTATTTTCCTATTAACGCGAAAAACCAGATTCCCCATAAATCTTACCCACTTTTAAATACATGAGATGTTATATACCACGGCAAATATGTAGATTGCAGTATAGCCATTTCCTCAAAAATGTATCCTACTAAGTGAACGTACTAACCACAAAAGGTTGTCTGTTAGTCATGCTTTTCAGCCGTCAGTGAATAAAATAGAAGCTAGATTCCCATCACAGTTGCTGATGAGAATTTGCAGTCACAAACCATCTGGTAAGGCTACACCAATAGGACACTAATTTGCCTTGAACGAATATCTGCACTAGATACCCTGCCAGTGTCTATTCTACAGGATATCAACACAACTCGGATCAAGAACACGTGACCGGCTTGACTAGGACGTGCGTATGATTCAACGTCAACATTCGACAATAACAAGGGATTGGAAAATAGATAACACATCTAATACCTGTCAGACTAAGTAAGTAACCAATCGCTATTTTACTCGCCCACACATCAAAAACCATGGCCAATATGTTCGTGACTATGAGAAAAAACGGCATTGATACTATCCTGAAGAATCAGGCACTGTGAATTAGGTCACTTGACATATTAAGATACATTATTAGAAATGGGATGTAAATAAAAAATATACATAGCATAACATAACAAACGGTCAGACTAATGCCCCATGTATGGGACAGTTTTTGGATATTTTCCAAATGTGACCATGTTTTGATGCCATAGGCGAGTCAGTTAAGATAATGAATAAAACGTTATGGCCTAATAAAACCGGGGAAACAAGTCCACGTAACTAAAAAAAGACATGTTTTGTTATAGTACGTCTCTGAGGAATCACATCGAAGTGTAGTTATGCAACAAGTTGCAGCAGTGAAAATGATGAACAACGATGAACTTACTTCAAAATTTTGTTCTCCAAAGTTAAAAAGTACTACGCCAAGATTTCCCCTATAGTCTCGGTCAATGACGCCAGCACCAACATCAATCCCATGTTTTAAGGCTAGTCCGCTTCGTGGAGCGACACGACCATAACAACCTTCTGGCAATTCAATCTATTTAACAACAGACGACCACGAAAATGAAAGATAAAATTTATTGAGACATTTAGATTGTCAGTAAACAGCGTGTAGAACGTCTATGATGCAGTATATATATTTAGTCATACACGGAGCCAGAACCTGCACAAGCAGTATAAATTTGGTTCAGCAGCAAAGCAATGATGTTCAAGAACGTCGAATGTACGCATAATGTGGTAAAGTATGTTGTTAGTATGGGGTAAACTGTTGTAAAAATTTGAGGAATTTGTCCTGATTTGTGATTTTGTATCTTGGTGGATAAGATCCACTTGGAGATATACTTTAAAACTATGTTTTTACTAATATTGATTTGTCATCCTCAAAAGACAGTGAAGCAGGATAGATAGTAATCAAATTGCTAACATATATTCTTACTTTCCGATCAGAATTTGTAATTTCTAACTCGATTAAAGTTTTACTATTCTAGGAACTAGACGTTGGGGTAATATATAACATTATCTTTCAAATCATAGTTGGTACATACAGGTCCCCAAACACCCTGGTAAGGCCGAGGGTGGAGAGAATCCTCCATCTCGAAATGCTCTCAAATGGCCACGTGCATACGACCACTGCCAGGGAAGTCCTACTCACTGCCTTTTCGTGGTGGGGGTGTTTACGAAATTTAGAAGACGAAAAGAGAATGTGATTAGTAAAAACCCGCATGGGAAGGTAGTGAGATAGCAATAACTATACTTTTTGATGCTTTAAACGTGTAAGTTCAACAAATATAAATTTTAGTGCCAAATTTTCTTTCGAGTACGAACTTCTATATGCTAAGCTACTGAAAACTTTACACTGAGTGACTTCAAGCCACATTATGGATCTTGAGTAGACAGTTTTCTCTACGCAGTACAGGTCGTCAAGACTAGCATATGAACTGGTGCTTACTGAATACATATACGAAGGTGGAGGAGATTGTGATCATAAACTCAGTTTGGGCCTGAGTACGAAACCAGAATCTGTACATTGGCAAATTTAGTTTTAGTGACCATACTTATCTATAACAAATTTTACATAACAAAATGATTACTGAAACAATTTTTATATAGATCACCTGTATGTCAGTTTTAATTAATTCACGACCCCCAGGAGGTATGGTAGCTTCATGAGCAGCATAAAGATCGTAACCAGCAGCAAAGAGAGATCCACGAGTAGGAGTTGTCGCTTGATAGGATAGCTTTTTGTATTTAAGCTTGACGTTACTAGGATAGCTATTCTCAAGCGGCAGAGATTCTAGCATGGTTTTACACACGAACTGAGTTTCACAGAAATTTGCTTTTGCTAAAATAACAATTACTTTAAGAAGTCCTAATGTAATAGGAAAGTATAAAAAACAGAAAGTAATCTTGATTCTGTATTACCCTATGGTTGTAAGCATGATCCATAAAAAGAGAAGATACGCGTAAGCTAAACATTTTAATCAGAGATATCCTTTAGGGATTGCTAGGGCTTGATGAAACAACGGAGTGAGCAACCAGATTATAAATTATGGACGAACGAAAGAAATCAAAGATAGCACATCCTGAATTTTGGCGCAAAACTCATCCATATGGTTAAATAGCATTTCAGCACTAAAGCATGATGAAAACTAACTGTAATTCCTAACCTTAACGTTTACCCGCAGATCCTAATTTTTGGCAATAATATATAACCCTCACTTAGCCCTAGCAAGCAGGTAGACACATTCCAGGTCAGTTCAGAAATGCTCAAAGGTCGTCCATTGATTATAACCTCACTAGAAATGATGAGGTCAGAGGCAAGATATCACGGAAAGATGATAAATTGATTGTTGAGGTCATTAATCTGCATCGATCGAAGTGGCTAAGACACTGAACTTTACAAGCTATGGTGGCTGAACTAGAAATAAGTAAAAAGAAAACTAAAAGGGCCAAACCAAAATATGGCATCCGCTTACAAATTTAGTGACTACTGAACAGAATCGTGTTCATAAATGAAGGCTAAATGGTTGGGGTTAAGAGATCAGAAATTGGACACATGGTCCGTAATTGGTCACAAGGACGCAGATGTGCCCAACTTTTATCCTTCCTGTATTGAGCTTAACTTTTCGTAATTATCATTACTGACTGAAAATCCTACAAACATATTTGTTGAAGACAAGGTAAATGAAAGCCCAGAACTATAAGATAAAAACAGACTACTAATAATAGGCAACAATAGCTGATATATTGTACAGACAGACGAATATAGGCAAATGACTAAGGGTGATAATTTATCTTTTGATCATATCATGTTATGTACATGGACAGTGATGATATCAGGAAGATCATGGAAACACTTATAAATGAATGACACGACAATTGGAAAATACCAGTTAACACTACAAAGTGCATAGGAACATGAATTAAGGTATGAATAGATAATATAAATAAACGTAGATATGAATATCTACAACATCAAATCACCCATTGATCAGACTCGGTGACCTACGGATTAGCATTAGGCAAAACTACGCTTTGAAATAAGTAATATCTCTAACAATATAAAGCACTGGTTTTTCTAAATCTAGGTAGTTTCTAAAGCTATGACATAGCACAAAAGCATCATTTTTATATTATTTTATTTGAACACATACATATTGGTACAGGAGTGCGCCAAATATATATGCGCCACACAATTCCAGTTCGTAAATTGCGTGTGGGCTGCGATACTGCCCGGGTGCCCAGACCGAAGCAGGTGGTTATCCTAGGGGGCCACACCCCGAGCCCTTGACCTGAAGGTCTAACCCACAAGGCAGTGGAGCATCGTAAGGAGATGCAGTCTCATGGTAGCCGGAAATTGGTTCATACGCCATTTGTTCCCGCAGGATACTGGTGCCCATTTGCACCATAGATTTGGAATCCGGTTAAAGCGCCGGACATTCGCTTTTCTTCCTCTCATTTTCGTAAACAACAACCCCGCCACGAGAAGGCAGTGAGTAGGACTTCCCTGGCAGAGGCTGTATACGCGCAGACGTGTGAGTATTTCGAGAGGGAGGGCGAACCCACCCCACTCTCGGCCATACCAGGGCGTTTGGGGGCACAAAAGCATCAAGCCCTAATTTGAAGGATTCCATAGAACAAAGCACAGCAACAAAGGTTCCAAAACCCTCAACCCAGTAAGCAAGAATGTGGTACTAACAATCAAGGGCGGGCTGAAACAAGCCGTACACAAAATGCGCAAGCCCGTGCTTCTAATGCAGTTGCCTCCATACTTCACAGGCGATTAGTCCTGCCTATCAAGCTAGAATAAGCAGACCAAAAAGACAATACGATTGCTTGCACTAAAATAAGTCCGGATAAACCTAAACTTTTAGACCAGCTACTCTGTTTTTGTAACAACGAGTTTCAGTATGACGTAGTCCCGTATTTCTGGTTGATATGTATAGCAGACCAATGGGGCTGCAGCCGAGCGAATTTAGCAAACTCGTAGCTTTACACCTTAGCACCTAATCCTACTTGTTCGCATGCGTATTCCCATGAGAAAAATGACTCTTAGATCAGATACACACGTGTGTATCTGATCTAAGAGTCATTTTTCTCATCGAAATCGGTAAATGTACATCTACCAAGATGTATACCATATATGAGAAATCAGGTTATGCAGTTGATAAACTAGGCCAGTAACAGCATGTAAACAACCCACAAACAAGAATCACTACACGACAAAGATCAATAAGAAACCTACTTAAAGCAAAATCAATTGAATCAATTCTCCGCGCTGAAGCGAACGAAATCAGTTTCCAATGGTTTAAATTGTTCTAAACGTAACAAATGGTTAAAATGGTTGTGGACGGAACAGAAGAAGCTTCCGCTTAACAGGCTTCCGTGTCTAGTAGCAGGAGATCACCAATACCTCCAGGCAGGAACCTAGGTATGTTAACAATAAAAGAGGAAAAAGAAATTGGTAAATCATAGTATTATGCTATCCTTAATCCTTAAGAATAAACCAAGTTGCCTCTTAAAGGACTCCTGGGAAGTTGCTTGGACTAGCTCACTCGGCAGCGAATTCCAGCATTTGACAACTCTTAAGGAGTAGAAGTTGTGTCTACAGTCCGTTCTGCTATGTTGTGTCTCCAGATTTTGAGTGTTACCTCTTAGGTTAGTGTTGGAACTAAGCTTAAATAGGTGTCTAAAAGGATGTCCAGAAGTGTTAAGGACACTGCAAGCCATCGGTAGGTCACCTCTAAGACGCCTATACTCTAATAGGTAAAAGGTTAAGTGATTGGAGGCGCTCTTCATAAGGTTGAAATTCGAGTCCTCGAACTAATTTCGTGACTAGCCGTTGGATACGCTCCAGATTGTCCATATCCTTTTGGAGTGAGGGAGGAACTACTATGTTTCCGTACTCTAAATGGGGACGGATAAAACTATCGAAGATTATATGGAAAGTTCTTCCATCAAAATGGCCAAAAATGAGCTTCAATGTTACCTGTGTAAGGTTTTCTCGAAAGGCATTTCTGTCACAGCGTAAAACTTTAAACCGTAGGGCACCAGGACTCCTAAATCTTTTTCGACTTGGGATAATACTAGAGAGGAGTTTCCTAAGTTATAACTGTAGTCTGCGACATGTCGCAGACGGACGACTTTACACTTTGAAGTGTTAAGGGTAAGTCCGTTATCGTCTGCCCAGCTTTGGAGTCGAGTCAGATCCTCCTGAAGTGCCCGTATATTGTCTTGGTTGAGTATCTCTCTTCAAAGTTTCACGTCATCGGCAAAAAGTAATAAGTCTGATGTTGCCTGTTGAGGAAGATCATTTATATAAATCAAGGAGAGAAGAGGTCCTAGTACTGAGCCCTGAGGGACCCCGCTAGGACAGCCTGAGATAAAACGAAGTTGACTCTAACCTTAAAATGTCAGTTTTTCAGATAGCAAGTCAGCCAATTAATCAGAGGTGGTCTGATACACAATCGTTTGAGCTTATTGATAAGACATGTATGGTTGACCCTATCAAAAGCTTTTAAGAAATCAAGGCAGATGATATCAACCTTCCCCTTGAGATTGAGGATGCTTGTCCATCTGTCCACCGCAGTAAGCAGGTTCATTATACAAGAGTGACCCTTCCTGAAACCATGCTGTTGAGGTGAGAAGTAATTCAAGGACAGCAAATAGTCATGTATACCATCGCATGTCAGGGACTCCATGATTTTTGAGGGTATGAAGAGAAGAGCCACCGGTCAGTAACTTGAAGGTTCGCTGCGTCGACCTCCTTTGAAAATCGGTGTTATGTGAGCGAGCTTCCAATTTTCCGTCAGTTTGCCTCGGCTTAGCGAGTGTGAGAACATCACGCGAAGCAGTGTTGCCAGAATTGAGGCTGCTCCCCTCAGTGTAGCAGAATGGACCATATCTGGGTCAGGAGAACTGTTTTTTCTTAGGTGCTGCAGTTTCCGGAACACCAAATCAGCGCTCAGGTTCACTACAGAAAGTCTTGCGCAGTTGTAGATGAAGCTGTCATCAATATAGTTGATGTGGCTTGGTTGAAATGGCCGAGAGTATTGTTCAGCCAAAAGGTTAGCGGATTCGCCGTCGTTATTGGTCGGGCCGTTAAGACCTAGCAGTTGGGAAACTCCAGCTTTGGCTTGATGAAGAGAGGCTGCATAACGGAATAAGCTTTTCGGATTAGAGACAAATTTATCCATAAGCTTTATCTGGTACTGAAGCCTTCGTGCATATGTTCTTTATGTGTTTGTGTTGCCTGTACGCGCCGTTGTTGTCAGTTCGTTTGTATTCTGCCCAACAGTGCTTTTAGCTGCATAGCAAGCGAAGTGTGCGGTTCTTGACGATTGTAGGTTGCTTGTAGCTTTTGGGGACTGTTTGAGGAACTGACTGCTTTGTAGCACATAAGAACGTGTGCAGTAAGAAGTCCCAATGAGTATCCACATCAAGTAGAGGGTGAACATCCCAGTCCACCTATTGTAGATAGTCCTGTAGAGCTGACACATTCAACCCTTTGAAATTCCAGCGCATGTTGTTGGTGGGGTATCTTAGTTCGGTTTTGCAGACAAAACTGAAAGCTATAACGGCGTGGTCGCTTTTTCCCAGGGGAGTCAGGGTTGAGAGGTTGTCAATTAGAATTTCTTCGTTTGTAAATACACCGTCTAAGCGCGACGGTGTCTAACTGTTTCCCCAACGAGTTGTCGATCTTACATTTTTGTATAATCCCAAATACTCAACGAGGTTGAAGAACCGAGTTTCAGTTGAGTTTTCGCCCCCAATATACGTATGTTCCATGAACTTGACTCTAGGGAGATTGAAGTCCCCTAGAATCAAAATATGAGTGAAACCAAGACGCATAGAGCGGGCTAGTCCTTCCAGTATACGACTGTCATACTCGATGTCAGCAGTGGACTTCCTATACATGACTCCGAGTAGGCACCTTGAAGTAGTAGACAATCTTACAGAGCACCATATGGATTCCACAAGATTGTTAAACTCGAGGTTGTGAACTTGGTTTGCCTCCTAGCAAGATCGTATGTATAAAGCCACTCCACCCCCAATTCCTGTTTTTCTGTCGTTGCGAAGCAAAGACATCCCAGGTACTTCTAGCTCCTGGCCCAATAACTGAGAAGATATCCAAGATTCCAGATTCTGGACGGAATGGAAGGATCTTTCGCTTCACAGTCTCTCATATTTCGTAGCAGTGGATCACCGAAGCTTTCAGGTAAGAACCTAGGTATATTAACAATAAAAGAGAAAAAAGAGATAAAAGTTGGTAAATTATAATAGGATTGTGTGTTTGGTACTTAAGAATATGTGGAGTTTTCTCTTGAAGGACTCCTTGGAAGTAGCTTGAACTAGCTCAGTCAACAGCAAGTTCCAACACTTGATTTCTCTCGAGGAGTAGGTGTGCTTATGGTCCGTTCTACTGTTGTATGTCTCTAGCTTCATGGTATTACTACTGAGTTTTATGTTGCGACGGAGCTTAAGTAAGTGTTTGAAGGGATGCTAAGAAATACTGTATGTCATTAGAATGTCACCTCTAAGAAGCCTGTACTCTAATGTGCAATGGTACAGTGATTAGAGGCGTTCTTCATAAGACATGAATTTGAGTCCCCAACTGATTTCGTGGCTCAGCGTTGGATACCTTGCAGTGTGTCCTCATCGTTTTGGAATGAGAAAGGAGACGCTATATTTCCATACTCTAAATGAAGTCGAGAAAAACTGTCGAAGACCAGGCCGAAAGTCTTTCGGTGGAACTAGCCGAAAACGCGCTCCAACTTTATTTGCTCCGAAGACGTATTTGTCACAGTTAGCGTAAGACTTCAAATTGTAGAATACAAACACCCCAAGGTATTTTTCAGCTTGGGAAACCTCTAGAGCGCAGTTACTTAAGTTGTATCTGTCACGTCCAAGTTTTGCTCGTCCCAGTTATTGGAGTACGGACTATCGATCTACTTGCAAATTACGAACCCAAAGTGACAACAGAACCAAAACTCCAATTCAGATACCAAATTTATTCGCAATTCACAAATAGTCGACCAAATGTCGTTCTAACAACAATAATTATAACAATTACAAAACAACCTTTCAATTTTGTAGGTTCCCGGAGCAAGACTACCAAATACCAAACCAACGACAAAGGGAAACCAAAATGTCCGAAATAACGATATAAACAAACAAGTTCAAAAGTTAAGTAAGACAGATACATCCAAAAACACAGTAAATTACTAATATACAGAAAAAGGGTTTTAATTCGCCAAATATCTTCAGTTCTCCTGTAACAGTATCGTTTTAATTTATTGATAAAACATATAGGATTGATCCTATCGAAAGCTTTTGAAAAGCCAAGGTGAATGACGTCACCCTTCTTCTTGCGATAAAAATGGTTGTCCATCCGTCCACCGTAGTCAGCAAGTTTATACAAGTGTGGCCTTTCCTGAAACCGAGCTGTTAAGGTGGAAGTATGTTTATGGATAAGTCGGTAGCTCGAAGGTTTGCTATGTCGATCTCCATAGAAAATTGGTGTGACATGAGCCAGCTTCCAATTTTCCGGTAACCTGTCTGAGATTAGAAAATGTGAGAACATAGCACTAAGTGGTGTTTCTAAGATTGACGTCTCTTCCCTTATTGTAGCAAGATGAAACATATGCTGACCAGCAGAAGTGTCTTTTTCAGATGCTGCAGTTTCCGGTACACAAGGTCAACACTCTGGTCCAGTTCTAAGTTTCCTGTTGGGTTACAGGTGAACATTTCATCAATATAATTAGTATGGATCGGTTGAAATGTTCGGAAGTACTGTCCCGCCAGAAGATTGACGGCGTTACTGTCATTGCTGATCGAGCCATTAGGACCTAGAGTTCGGGAAACTCCGGTTTTGTCTCTTTGAAGAGAGGCTGCATGATGGACCAAGCTTTTCGGATTGGAGACAAATTTGTCGATAAGATTTGTCTGATACTGTAGTCTGTCTTCTCTCATTGCATCTGTAAAATGGTTCCTTGTATGTTTGAATTGCCTTCATGCGTTGTTATTACAAGTTCGTTCGTATTCCGCCCAGTAGTGCCTTTTGTGGCTTAGGAACCGAGGAGTATGATTCCTGATGACTGTAGGTTGCTTTTAGATTTTGGGGACCATTTGCGGAACGGACGGCTTTGAAGCTTATAATATCATATGCAGTAAGAAATCCAAATGAGCATCCACATCAAGTCAAGGGTGAACTTCCCAGTCCACCTCCGGTAGATTGTCCTGTAAAACTGACACATCCAACTGTTCGAAATTCCAGCGCCTGTTTTTTGTAGGATGTCTTAGCTCAGTTTTGCTGATAAAACTAAAGGCTGTGACGGCCTGGTCGTTTT